CCAAGACTCTAGGGGTCTGTGAATGGAGCTTCAAGAGATGGTTCTTTTGCATTTTGAAGCTAGAACCTCGTTATTTGGCCATCATGAGGAGGTAGCGAGGAGTGTCTTTACTCAACCTCACCTACAAATTTTTCTAGTTTATTGTGAACGAAAAGTACAAATATGACACCTTTCTAGGTTTCCTAGAATGTGCCTAAAGAGTGAATTTAGCAGGAAGAGCTTGTGGAATATCTAGGGAATGAGAATATTGGAGGTTGACGATGTTTGGTAAGATGTAGGGGGCATTAGGTAGCTATCTGAGCTGCGAACTCTGAAGAGACCTCAAAACACTAGTTCCAATGAGGCACGATTGTCAAGGGAGATCCGTCATCTATTCCTGAGCAAGCTGTAAACTTAGCACTCATAAAAAGAAGATGATACGATCTCCTTAGTGCAAAAAAATAGAGAATAAGATCTCCAAATACAAAAGCATAAGCTGTTTCAAAAATAAGAAAATAATAAGATATAAATAGTTCTCACTAATAACAACCCTAATTCTAATTTAAAATAAAATATAGCCCACAAGGCTTTGCCTGTTGAAGAAATTTTGAATTGAGAATTTTTAGTAGGGAAAATTCCCGTCAAGAAAACATCGGGGCTAGGAGAGGATCCTTATTATTCTCAGTAAACACTTGGATCTCACTGCCTTGTGTTCTTTCTCACAAAACTCATATGTAGATTTCTAAATTAGCTGCTCATTACTCGTATTTGGTCATCTGTTTGGGATTGCACTACTGAACTTAATTGAAACTTAGTACCCAACTTATTCCATAGAGCCTTTCAGAAATAACTTAAAAAAAACTATAATCTTTATGATGACATGACGAACCTCCTTCAGTAGTGACAACTTAGGAAATAAACTAAAATTCATAAAATCCTAAAATCCTTTTAGCAGGGGCTAGTATGTGTCTGGTATTTGCTCCTTGAACTCATTGCCTTTTTTAATAACCAATACTAGTCATTTTGTGCTTCTCTTAAATTTTGCAAAAAGATGGTTTGTGGCACCTTATCCTCAAGCTCTGTATGAATATCCATTATCACAGACTGCTTCCAAGTCAAGGGTAGAATGCATTTCTCATTTTTTGTGAAAGAATGTTTTCTTAGAACCTTTATGATGCGTGTAACGATCATACTACCTGGTGCGACCTAACAGGATATGACAAACATTCATAGGTACCACATTTGCTTTTGAAGCCTTTCTCCCATAGAAACTCTACGAGGCATCCCTTGTCAACTGCGATCTTATTCTTTTCCTTCAACCATGGAAGGGAATATGGTTGGGTGCATTTTGGTGTTGCTAGATTCAATTTGTCAACCATGTGGGTAAACACCACATTCTCACAAATGCTTGCTTCTATGATAAAATTTATCGTCTTTATCTTCACAGTGCAATAGGTATGAGAGGTATTGTGACAAAGCCATTGTTGCTCTTTCGTAGGCTCAACCTGAAGAATATGTCAAACACTAGTATCTCTCCCTTATCAGTTGGAACCGATACTTCTCTCTAACACTTTCATTCTTTCTTGTGTCACTATTCATTTCATCTATTGTTCTTTGCTCAATGATTGTGATCATCATCTTTTTTGGATAAACATACACAATCTGTCTAAAATCGTGGCACTCGAAGCACTTTCAATTTGAGACTGCTTTGGGAGTGCTAGTAGTCTCCATCTTTTTTCCACTCTGAATTTGTTTTTCTTAAGAGGGGTTGACTTGGGTGCTTCAATGAGGATATATTTGCTACTTGATTATGGTGTTGAGCTCTATCTGTAGGGTATGGTCGTCACCTGGTGATGTTAATTCCTCTTATTTAAAGCTAGGGGCGTATATATCGATTAGGGACCAATACGACAGTAGTTGTATCACATTACTAATATATATTTTGTCTTCCCAATTTATGCTCCTTTAGTTCTACCAAGTCACATTTCAGAATGAATTGATCAAATTTAATTGTGTAATTTTCTACAAAAGATTCTCTTTGACTCAAATTGTGGACTTTTATGAACATTTCCTGTCGGTAATGCAGAAGAATATTTCTGTTGCTTTTCTCTTTTCACCTTAGACCACGTTGTGGTCTTTTTTCTGCTATTGAAGGTGTTTAAGTTCCACCATAAGAAAGCGATCTTTTTGAGTTTGATGGACGCCAATTTTACTCTTTTATTCTAGGGAACATCTTTATACTCAAATTTTTGTTCCATTGTTTGGAATCAATCAATGAATTCATCTTAATCTAAACGTCCATCAAAATTTGAGTAGTCAATCTCACTCCGAAATCTCAGTCTCCTTTGATATTTCATGTCGAATCATCAGGGTATTGGTTGGAAACTTACTAATAAAAATAGTTCACCTCCTCCTCTTGATTAGGTGAATAACGCGTTATTGTGGCTGTGAGCGACCTCTTCTTGTTTCTTATCTTAAAGTTGGCAAGCTTTTGGTTCATTCAGAGGTTTTTCCTTGCATGTCTTTCATCGTAAGCTTCTTGACACCTCTTTACATGTTTTTCCTAGGAAGCATTGCCCTTTTTTCTTAGTCTTGGTTTCGACGTGCGTAGGGTTGTGGATCAATGTTTGGCTATGGGCTTAGGGTTTTGGTGATACGCATCGGGGTGGAATTTTGGTGTAAGAATATTAGCTTTTGAAAAGTTAGGGACAAGACTAGCAATTGCGGTTTGAATAACTAGCATATTGAGTTTATCGAAGGTTTATATGATGTGAATATTAGTTTCGAGTGTAAGAAAGACAAATCACTAAAAATTTAGGGTTTGGCTTGATCTGATATCAAACAACACCTTTTTAGGGTTTTTTTAAAGTTTGAGGAAGTGGATTTAGCAAGGAATGGTTGTGGAATAGGTAGGGAATGAGAGTATGAGAGGTCGACGACATTTGACCTGGAGTAGGAGGTATTCTGTGGCTATCCAGGCGAAGAACAACAAAAAGAACCACAACACATTAGTTCCAACAATGTATGAATGCGGAGGGAGATTTACCACTTGTTTTTTAGCAAGCTACTGACACGTCACTTGCAAAAGGAAGATGATACAACTGTTTTAGAGTAGAAATCATAGAATAATATCTCCAAATACAAACACAAGCTTAAGTCTTCAAAAACAAGAAAATAATAAGATATAAATTGTTTCCCCTCAAAATAACCTTAATTCTAATTTAAAAATTAAAAAAATAAAGCCCACAATACTGCCCACCTAGAAACCTGAATCGAGAGTTTCCAGGTAGGAAAATTTTTACTATAGACCTCACGGGATGGTATCTCTGTATCTGTTGATCCTTTGTAGGGCTGTAAATGAATTGAGCTTGAGTGAGCTCAGGCTTAGCTCGTGTTCGGCTCGTTCGAAATTGATCGTGTTCGATATCGACTCGTGTTCGAAATTGACTCGTGAACAGCGTGTTTGTGTTTGACTCGATTAAATATTATTGTTCATGTTTGACTCCTGTTCGGATTGAAATTGACTCATTAAAATTCTTGTTCATGTTCGACTCCTGTTCGGATTGAAATTGACTCATTAAAATTAATTGAAAAAAATAGATGTAAAGTGTTGGATTCGAACCTGCAGCACTCCTGTGCAATAGAAGAAATGGAACCACATGATCATACGAGCTATTATGATTTAAATTTAGACATAAATACATATAATATATTATTATATAAATAATATACATTATATATAATATATTATTATATATATAAGATATATAATTTCTTTATTTCGAGCTAAAACGAGCCAAACACGAGCGTACAAAGTTTGCTCTTGTTTGACTTGTTTATTTAACGAGCGAGCCAAACACGAGCTACTTAACGAGCCGAACATGAGCTGTACGCAAACAACAAGCTTTTTTGATAGCCCTAATCACGTGTAGTGGGATCACCCAATCCACGATTACATGGAAACGCAAACAACAAGCTTTTTTGATAGCCCTAATCATGTGTAGTGGGATCACCCAATCCACGATTACATGGAATCTCGCGGAATCGGGACAAGCTCCCACCAGTTCTATGCTTCGTTAGATGAAATGTGTTTTGTTTTTTGTGTCTTATTACTTGTTCTTAATTCCATTTTGTACTGATTTTTCTTTCCCATGTATCAATGTTCAAAGGAGGATTTTATACTTTTTTGCTTATCCAAATATTCATGCTCATGCTACCTAAGTTTCCTCAAGTGTAGTTGTTCATGTTTGCAAACTCGCACAAAATGAAATGGTGGGGAGAGAATCATGCTGGCAAGGTCTCCCATTTTAGTGGCCTTGAAGATTTGTTTGACTTGGGTTTCAAGTCATATCTAATTTCTTAACTATAAATGATCATATTTCAAAAAGTATTGTTTAATGATTTTGCTTTAGCAATCATCTGATTTTCCATTTACAATAGGTTCTTTTGTCTCCTAAATGTACATTATTGAGCACATATACTTCTAGTTGGTTGCAGTGCTATTTCAGTGACTTTTTTAGACGCATTTGCAAATCAGGGCTATAGTAGTGAGCTGTTTGGCACGTCTACTTCTTTGAATATTCAAGAAAAACTACCAACACTCTAACGACTTCTCTTACATTGTGAATATCTGCTTGACATATATTTTACACAAATAGCCCCATTAATCATTTGAAATGTGATTGATTAGCTCTATATCATAACGAGCACTATAATTTTGAAGTCTGTTGGAAAATTGGAATAAATTTATACTTTAAGTAATATTATTTATCTGTATTTTAATTGCTTTCTAACCATGTAATTATCCTACATTTTTCATTAGTTTCCATGTCCCTGTTTGGCATCCCCTTGCCCGTCTTGGCATTATAGTTGCGCTCTTTTTATTTGCATGACATACATTTTTCAACCATTACTTAAACTATGATGTATGTTATATTATGTACATATTCTAAATTTGATGTCAAGCAACTTTTCAGGATTCTGCTCCTTGTTTCTGCTGACTAACTTTAGAAACATTGCAGCTAGACGCACCTCAGAAGAGTCGCTCAGTTGTAAATGTGGTTTTCTATGGATTAAGATGGGTTCTTTGTTTTGGATTAATGGAAACAATGACTCATTTTTTATATTACAATGCCTTTGCAAATAGGTGAGGCCCTTTTTAGTTCAGTCAATTACTATTCTTTTAATTTTTACTTCTTTTTATTCATTTTTATAATTTCTTGTCTTCTAGTGGCTTATGGAGGCAATTTTCACCCCTGGAGATCTTCATTATTGGATATGGGGTATGATGCAATCCACAGATTATCAAAATGCGAAAGCATCTTTACTATTATTACTAGTTCTTACTCGGTAACTTTCCTTTAATAATATGTTTCTAATTATGAATTGGCCTGTTCTATTCTTTGTATGGAGGGTGTTGCACCATTATTTGAGGGATTCTTTTTTCGGATGAACTTGTGCTTCTGTGATTTTTTGATATTTTTGGTTTATTTTATGACAGGTCATAAACTTTATGTGGTTGAAGTTCTTACTTATCTGGCGCTATTTCCGGTTTTGGTCCTTGGTAAGCTTATGTGGCTGCAGTTTTATTTTCTGAAATTATCATAGTTTTACAAGTTACAGATTTGTGTTCTTTATTTTCTGATTGGCAGTTTTCTAGTTTATTTTCAAAACTGTGATAAGTTCTGTTTTGTGACTATGCAATCCTTATTGTATATCATCATTATGTTTCAAGGCTTAGTCCTGGCGGTGGTTGGAATATTAATTTTTTAGTATAATTTCTGAACTATTCGTGACTAGTTGTTTGGCCTTATGAGCCATGCTATTACTAGTCATAAAATGATACATGTCACCAAACCAATCATTTAGATTTTGATAGTACTTTGTCATGATTATGTACACTGTTCAAACAATGAATGGCTCATTGAATAAAATTCGAAGGTAAGCTTTTACCAGCCAGTTGCAGCTGAATTGATTTTTATCCTATGCCATGACTGTTGTCATATCTCTATCTTTCAAATGAACTAGTTTAATCTAAATTCCTTGCTCTCAAAGCTTCAGGACCTACGTTTTCTGTGTGAATTTATACTTATAGTGCAATTTCCATTTCCTTGTACCAAACAGTTGAGAATCCTCCTCTTCTGTGCCAAAAATTTCTGATCATTTTTTTTCCTGGGATACTAATTATCATGACATTGTTGCTACAATTGATAGTTGTTTTCTTCCTAGATGGTGTTTATGACGGTGCTGAATCGTAATGGGTAACGTTATCTTTGATTTGGTGGAAATTTATACTATTTACAGTCACTGTGATCATCTTGGATGACTTCCTAGCTTTTATCTGCATCTTACCCAATTTTGAACTATAATGCTTGATAAAAGATAGGTTTATGGTAGAAATAATTCTTAATAATTGAATTTACTGATCACATTCTGGAATTTTTTATTTAAGTTGAGAAGTTCTTGGCAAAGTAGTTTAGAGCTAATTTAGCTGTTCATGATGCTATGATTTTGTCAGGATGCAAATTATGTTCACCCATCTATGGTCAGCTCCTTGCCTGAGTGAAGTACCACTGTCACAATATAACCCTTATCCAAGAACTGACCAAGTTGTTCCACGAATAAAAAAATGTATGGAAAAATAGAATGTTTTGTATGCACACATATTTTAATTTAGACTAAATTTTGATTCAAATTTTTTTGGGTTGGATGAACAATTATTGAAATGTTATTTCTTTTTGATATCAACTCCCACATATGATTTACAGATTGCAAGGCGCATTTAACCTTCAAATGTTAAATATCCTGATTTATTGACATCTAAACACCTTTTTTGTTGTACTCATGTTCTAGAAAAATGCGTTATAATAATTGTAAATCTATCAAATAAGAAACTTAATCCAGGTTTATTGATGTTTTATTTCCATTGCAGGTTGCAGGAATCGAGACCATTGAAAACATGCCCATGTGTCTCAATAATTGTTATAGCTTGGAGACCTTTTGGAAGTCTTGGCACGCATCTTTCAATAAATGGATTGTTAGGTATACTGCATATTTTTTGTCCTTTAATTTGTTATTTCTACTTTTTAACTTAAAGTACCATTTAAAATTTCTTACAGATATATGTACATTCCTCTTGGTGGTTCTCAGAAAAAGCTCTTCAATATGTGGATTATCTTCACTTTTGTTGCATTATGGCATGATATAGAGTGGTAAAGTTTTCCACAATCATATTATTGTATTTCAAGAATCAAGTTTATTGGATTGATTGGCATAGAGTTGCTTTGCAAATATGGCTTCTTGTACTGATACTTCTGCTCTCACACACAGGAAGCTTATTTTGTGGGCGTGGCTCACCTGTATATTTTTTATCCCAGAATTAGTAATTAAATCATCCATTTCTTCATTTACGGTAACTTTTTTTTTACCTCGTAGTAATATGCATTTATCATTTAATAATGCTGCAAATGGGAATCATTGACTTTTTTCTTTATAATATTGTGGTGATGTAATTAACTAGTTCGTTTATGACACATCAATGGGTATTTACATATGTACCACACAATTCTTATGTATTTATATATCCAACACCTAAACAGTCATATTTACATGCATACCACTCAAAATTTTTATATCACTTGAATTTCAGCATCACATCAAAAGTACTACAATCATTATCTTTTGAATGTCAAATACATCTTTTCATGCATAGGTTGTGATGCCAAGGTGTTATTAAGTGTAAATATCAAACTTTGGGTGTAAATACATAAGAATTGTATGGTATTGTTGACCTCATTTTTGAGGTCATTTCTTTTTTCTTAGGGTCTCAGAATCTAACTCTAGGAGTTCCTATTGACCATCTTAGAAAATTAGAATTGGGACCTACCATTTTAGAAATTCTAAAATACTTCCTATTTTCCTGTGATGTCTAGCATTTATGGTCTCAAAACCATCGTCTTATGTACGAGTGGTTAATGACTATTATGTGAAGACTCAAGGAGAAGTCTCCAATAGGACCTCAAGCCCTAGGAAAACCTCCTTACGACTTTATCGTCACATACACACACTAAATACATAAATACACAAAATTCACACACAAAATTCACAAAATTGCACGAGGTCGGACTTCAATTGAGCCAAAGGATAGGTGAAAATGCAAACTTCTCCGGAAGACCCCCGATGACGAAATGGGTTGCGCCAACGCGTCCTAGACACCAATTTTATTAGAAAAGAACACCCATATTGCCATATTTCCGACATGAGAAAATTTGCACGTAAATCGATGAATTCGTTAAAACGACATCTGACGGCGAAACGAACAGCGCCAGCGCGTCCGGAACGTCAATATTACCTAAAAATGATACCAATTTTGTTATGTTTTGACGCACAGTTGAAAAGTATGAATTGAATTTTATTTTTAAGAAATATTAAATTATTTTATATCTTTATCACTTATATTATTATTAAAACCCTAAGCCTTATTTAAGGCTCCACCCGCATGCTTAAACCCTTCGTTCGAGCCATCTTCAGGCTCAATCCCGCGGCTCATCCCGTTCCTTGCCCGTGACCTAGCTTCCACGATGGATCCACGAGGCTCGCGTCTTCTTTCTGCTCAACCGAGCGGCTCACCTATTGGTCTTTGCCTCGTATCCAACCCTTCTCCTTCTCGAGGCTATACGCTCATGGTGTCGATTCCTTCCTTCTTCTCGGTTGGTTGGCTAGGGCGGCAAACGGTTGACATTCTCTTTTCTTTTTTTTGCCTTTTAGCTTTCTGGGGAGTTAGTTCTTGTGTGGGGGGTTGTTAAAAAATTTCTGAGAGAGAAAGAGGGTTTCTTTGAGAGAAGAAAGCTTTTGGAGGAACTTGGTGTTTTCTTTCTTTCTTCTTTAATGTTGGGAAAGCTACTTCTTTCTGCTTTTGTCGTTCGAGAGGAGATCTTCTCCCTCTTTGTTGTTCAAGGATCTTACGGCCTGGATTTGTTGAACTGTGAGTTAGGAAATTGTGGGAGGTATTTGCGTGAGGCTTTCAAGAAGGATTTTTGTGGGGTGTTTTCTTCAATTTATTTGCTTTGCTTTAAATCTGCACTAAAGAGGTATTTTTCTTCTTCTCCTCTGTTCTGTTGCCTTGCTCGAAACATGTTGCTGGAGTTGTTAAAATAAGGAAAAATGCATGCATAAACTCTGATTTTGTCTTGCCTAATGACTCATGATAACAAGTGCTGAATGTCTCTGTGGAGGCTGATTTGGGAGTTTTTTTTTATGCTAGTTGAATTAGTAGCTTAGGGAAGCATGTTTTGAATCATTTCATATGCAAGTCTTTTCCTATACTTCTATTCTTCCTATGTCTATCTGCTAAAAGATTTAACTTTTCTTTTCTCTTTACTAAATCAGTTCATTATCCAAAAAAAATGGATCTTTGAGGAAAAGAAGTGTTGTGCATGTTTATTCTGCTAAAAGATTTGACTTTTCTTTTCTCTTTACTAAATCAGTTCATTGTCCAAAAAAAAATGATCTTTGAGGAAAAGAAGTGTTGTGCATGTTTATTTGCTGCCTGAATCATTTGAGAAGCTATGGTTATATGTTCTAAAATGACACCTGTTCAATTGAATGCATGCTGAAAGTATCTTCATTTTTCTATAAAACTTAGGAGCTGTTTTAGCTCATTTGGATTAGAGTTCATGCCGGAAATGTGTTTTCTATTAAGTGAAAATTTGGCTTTGGCTCTTTTGGGAGAAATCTTGGGCTGAACATGTTTTGTACTCCCCATTTGCTGGGGCTCGGTTTTGAGTTCCAGCTCTCGGCTGAGGTTCAATTTTGTTTTGTTGCTCTCTGCTGAAGCTCAGTTTTGTTTTGTTGCTCCCTGTGGGATTGCTGTTTCGATTATGGCCCTTGCTAGGGCTCGATTTTGGGTGCCTGTTCTCTGTTGATGTTCAGCTTTGCTTTGTTATTCTCTATTGGAGCTCAGCTTTAATTATAGCCTCTTTTTGGGGCTCGGCTTTGTTTTCCTGTTCCTTAATGGGTTCAATTTTAGCTCTTTTAGAATACGTTTAAATATTGGAAAAATTTTCTTTTCCTTGATGGGATTTGGTTATGTTCTTGCTATTCCCTGATGGAGCTCGGTTTGCTGGGGCTTGGTTTTGTTTCTGTGGCTCCTTGCCTGAGACCAAATGCACCCATTTTTGATTTTAGTCTTGTCCTTTTTGTTGGAATCAAATGTATTTATTCTGGATTTTTGCTCTCGCTGTTTTGTTGAATTCAGGTATACCTATGTTGGACTGATACCTTATCCTTACTACTTGGGCTTGGGTGTGCTTTTGCAGCTCCCTGTCCCATTTCTTTTGCTCAGTTCATTATGCCTAAGTAATTGTCAGTTTTGCTATCTGCGTTGCCCCTCTTTCTCGCTCTACCCGTGAGCTTGTTTGTGAGCTTGTTTGGGGCTGGTTTGGTGGCTGTTTTGCTCCTCTTCCTAGATCTGCCCGTGAGCTTGTTTGTGAACTTGCTTGGGGCTGGTTTGGTGGCTGTTTTGCTCCTCTTCCTGACTTTACTCGTGAGCTTGTTTGTGAGCTTGTTTGGGGCTAGTTTGGTGGTTGTTTTGCTCCTCTTCCAGGTTCTACCCGTGAGCTTGTTTAGAGCTTGTTCGGGTTTGGTTTAGTGGTTGTTTTGGAGCTCTACCAGTGAGTTTCTTTGGGGCTCTTTTGGGATTGTTTTGGTGGTTATTTCTTGCCTCTACCCGTGAGCTTAAATGTATGGTTGACCTATTTACAAAATCTGAAAGTCATGGTTGGCATATTTGCAAAATCTGAAATATTTGTGGGGCTTATTTGCAAAACCTGAAATATTTGTGGGGCTTATTTGCAAAACCTGAAACATTTGAGTGGTGTATTTGCAAAATCTGAGGTGTATTTGCAAAATCTAAAGGTGGCGTATTTGCAAAATTTGAAATATGTGGGTGGCTAGTTTGTGAAAATCTGAAATGATTTGATGATTCCTTTGCAAAATCTGGAATCATTTAGTGTTCTTGTTACTTGTAAAAAAAAAATCTGAAAGCTATGCTCTAGTCACTTTGCAAAAATCTGAGAGTTTCTTTATTTATTTTACAAAGTTTGGAAGCATTGATGTTACTTGCAAAAATCTGAAATTTTTATGTTGTTTATTTGCAAAAATCTAAAACTATTGGGGAGTTTATTTACGAAAATCTGAAATGCATGATAGGTGGAATATTGATTTAAGGCTCTATGTTCATTCCCTATCATTGCTACGTGTTTTCCCATTTGTTGAGGCTCGGTTTTGACTCTTTGGAGCTGGATAAAGGCTAAAAACATTTCTCTGTTTTCCCCATGTATTGGACTTGATTTAATTTAAATGATGATCTGTTTTTTTCGGCTCTTGTGTTTTGCTTGGATTTAGCTTTATTCTCATTTCCTCTGGATGCGGGCATTCTCCTTTAGTTCTTTTATGATTGAAGATGTTTGATTTGGGATTGGTTTTCTCCTTCATTGTTCCTGGCCGCAAATCTTAATGTGGTGAATTTTCACCTTTGTTGTGAAGGTAGGTTCATTGATTGGGTGAACCGTACTTGGAGCACTTTCTAGTAATATGTTTGTCTATTCTAGTAATATGTTTGTGCTACATTTTTAAAGTTTTATTCGTCACATTCTGAAGCTTTATTCGTGAATGTTTAAATTACATTTTGAGGCTCTTAAACCCTTTTTTGAGATTGATTCGATTTTTTTTACGAGTTTTAAACGCCTTTAGGCCGATGCACTTATGATTTCATTTTAAACTTTACCGATTTGACTTTATTTTAAAAGTGGATTGACCTCTTTTCGTTTGTTTTGTTTTCTTTTTCTTTAACGGTCAAGTTAAAAATGAGAATTTCCGATTTAACTATTTTCAGAAATGATTCATGATCTTAAAGAAAAATATGAGGAAAAGAGAAAAGGAGAGAGAATTAAAAATGAAAATTGCTCTGTTGAGATGATAAAAATCTAAGGAAGAAATATGATAGTAAACCATTCACCATTCCTTTTATATAAGAAAGGTAAAATTGTAATTGGAAGAATAGTTGAGAGTTGGGGGAAGGTGAGAGTTTAGATAACAATTAGAAGTATTGATTGAAAGATCAGCAGACTTACATTTAGGTTCCTTAAGCTTTGAATAAACATAAACTCAATTGTTTTAATTAGGATTAAAGCACATTTCACAACCCTTTTGCCAAAATTATAGGTTTATTCCTAGGTCTTAGGAGCACACCCTGAGAGAGTTTATCCTTCTAATTTTCAAATAAACCTAAGAAGCCAGACATCTGACCCTAGTTCATGAGTTAATTAGGGCACTAGACACGAGGGTGCACTAGATTGTGATTCATGACTGATTTAATTAAATCAAATAATGAAATTCTTGTCTTAACTTGACCAAAACTGAAACCCAATGCTCTAGGATTTGAGCTTGAGTCTTGCACTCAGATCCTCCTGGCAATTGGGGACATTCTCAATATCACAAATAAATCTTCTATTCTTGGTTTTTTATATGTGATATTGTGTTTTGTTTTGTTTGTTTGTCTTTTTCCTACGATTTGTCGGTTTTCTCGAGTTTTTCAGGTCGTGTTTTCTCTTGTTTACACAACACATACTAGCTAAGCTTAAAGGAACAACAGTTCTCTCAAATATACAGGTTTAATTTACATTACATCATTTTATTTCACATGTTATATTGTTCTCCTAGCCTATTATACTGTTTTCCTAGCCTGTTATACTGTTTCCCTGGCATTTATATTGTTCTCCTAGTCTGTCATACTATTCTCCTAGCATATTATATTATTTATTTCTTCTTTTATATCACATGTTTTATTTGCTTTGATACACATTATACCTTAGTATAGGAAACATAGTGGTTATATATAGGATTAACGACAAACCTGGAGGTGCTACAGCTAGGAGCTTGGAGCAAATACCGTGGGTAGCACGACGAGGACATTCAAAAGAGCTACAACAAAACTAAATGCATAACACTATACACTTTCCTTAGTTTAAATAACAACTCCTAGGATTTCGAGGTAGTTTGCCTAGTCCAGCGTAAACCCTCATCTATCACCCTTAGGCTTTTGCACAACCCTGGTTATGCAATTATAATCCTAACATTTTAGGATTCCAAGGTTACTGTATGGTAATGTGTAAATCCTCCTATCTTTTTATGCTATTTGCACGATCAGATATTGTGCGAACATAAGTCCTAAATTATAAATAAATTGCAGGATTAAATATTAAATAACATCATTTCAAAGATATAAAAAAGATAATTTCAAAGATATAAAGCCAAACAGTAGGATAGTTGGAGGTCACTAGGGTTCTCCCCAGATCTATGATATCCCCTACTCTTCGCTCATTTGGATTCCTTAAAATAACTGTTCCTATTTGGGTCATTCCCATTTGATTTTCTCATATCCAATCTTGGAAACTTAAACTTTGAAATCTGGAAAGTAAAACCACTGATCTTAATCGAGAGTTTTCTTAAGTGACCAAGGTCATTTAAGATGTAATTAACTAGGGGCTTGCCTCTATAGGGAACTTGGAACCCGGTAAAATAAACCATATATAATCTTTATATTATGTAGGGGAACTTGTTGGCCTCATATAAAATATTTCGCAGACCAAATGAATGTCACAAATTCTTTAGTTTAGTTGATTGAGTTTAGTTCTTTAATTTAGGTGATTGAGCCTACTACAAATGATATGCTTATTCTTCGGGATAAGTGTATTATTTGTGGTATCATGCTTAGTCACCCAAACTATTCAAAATGTGAGACTCGTTTGATCTCACCTGTTTTTAAATCGAAATGTTACTTTCAAAAATCATATTCATATTAAAACTATTTTCATATTTTTCTTATATTTTTCAAAACTAAAATTAAAATGGCTGACAGGTATGTGTGTAAATTTCTCCACCACATCAATTCACTATTTACTTCAATTGGCCTGTTTTATTGGCTACTTCAGTCAAGTTTCTGGTTTTTTTTTGTAATGGATTGTTCACATCCCTTTTTTGCTGTTATTTTCAGCCTAGAAGTGCTACTGGCAAGTTTGTGCTTCGAGAAATGAGCGCTGTAGCTGGGGCTGTTACCATTACTTGCCTTATGGTGTGTTTTCTAACCTTATGCTGTAGAAATTTTTTTATATCATCACATTATATTTCTGTGTCATTTACTTGACGTAGAAGTTGAGATTTGATCCACAGTTCATGGTTTGAATCGAGTGACTGGTCACTGCAGTGGTGCTATTATCTTTTTGTGAATTTTATTTAACCAACACTACTATTTTGGTCATTATATGAGAGAATTAATTATGGCAGTTTCTGTTAATAACAATTGCAATTGCGTTAATGAATATTATAAATAAACCGCTAGTGTTCTGACTCGGGATTCTATAATAATGCAATCTTAATACATTTTGAGTAGTGTAAGGAATGCTGTTGTTTAGAACCATCTTATGATCGGTTGAAGGATGAAGTGCCCTTTTTTTTTTTCTTTTAATGTTTTACATTTTAGATGGCGTACTGTTTAATTAATGGGGAAATATTGTCTTATTTATATGGAATATGCTATTGAATGGTGTGATCTTAATTTTGTATCATTAGGTTGGTCTTTAGAATTGACAAGATGATATTGTTCAAATTTTCTTGTTATATCTCAACAATTCTCTCTCCTTTCTTCGTCGTTGTTGGGAGTTTTGTTGAAACCATAGTGGCAAAGACTTACAGGATAGCTTCTTTCCCCCCACTCTCCACTTAATGTTCTTTTCCCTCAAGTTATTCTTGATGTTACTTAAACTAGTGCAATATGAGGCTCGTCTCTGCGCTTTTTATGAAAAATCTTATTGAGGCTTACGCTTCATTATCCCAACATGAGACGTATACCTCCCCAATCTGAGGCATACCTTTACTTCTCTCCTAAAAATTTTGACTCTATTCATAATTTTTTTAAAATAAAATTTTAAGTAGTATCAATATACATCGTCTACTAACATTTACACGTCACACACTAAATTTCAAGAAATAAAAGAAAAACGTATTCATAAAAATTCATGCAGTTGAAATTCTAATTATCAACATAGTTTTTATTTTAATTAATATTTTTATTGACTATTATTCATCAAAAAGTAGAAAATATTTTGGTTTAAAGACAATATGGAATGAGAGAATATAGATATGAATAAGGATAAGACGCAAAATAAATAATTCATTATGCGATGAATCTTATGAAGATCAATTGGGTGATCGGAGTAATATAGACTTTAAATTTAAAAAATTAAATAATGATGTTTTTTTATATTCTTATTTAAGTAGGGAGTAGTATGAGCAAGAGGGAAGCATAAATGTTGAACTTATTTTGATTTTGTTTTGTTTTTTTAGTATTTTAATTTAATATATTAGCTTACTTTGATTGTTTGATGTTTGCATGACCTATCTTTTTTCATTATTTGATATTAGGACATTAACGTTGTACTTCTAATTTTATGCAATTAATCAATTTTACTTAGTTAGAATGTCATGTTACTTTTTAATTTATTATTAAATTAGAATATTAGTATATTATTTCATATTTCACACTATAGTTTATACAATATTTGTTAATTTACACAATTTTTTTTAAATTTGAGGCTTGCGCCTCGTCTCATGAATGAAAACGCCCCAATAGCCAATTGCGCATTTTTAAACATTGATTCATGATTCTAGTAGAAAATATATGCATCTATTAATTTTCTATGTTGTCATGCCCACGACGGCCCCCTTCTGTGAGTTGACAAGGGACATAATAGTGGCGAGTGTGGTTCATCTAATTGAATATCCCTCTAACACCCATTTTGACATCCTACTCGCCAAATAGAGTGGGAGACATACTTGATCACCCAAATTCACCCTAAACAACACTTGTGCATTACAACGATTAGATACAAAATAAATTAACTTAACTATTCAAATTAAGCGGAGGCAATCCAAAATTTATCATTTGAATATATCTGCAGAGCATATAATTGCCCCAAAATATTTATAAAAAGTATAAATTTCATATATTGGCTTATCGCAAAATTATATATTTTACAGCAAAATATAATCCAAAAGATTGCGCTAACACTACTCGACCTCAATCTTTCTTGATACCGAGTTTAACCCAAATCACAACGGAAATGCAAATCTTATTGCTGAAAATCAAAAGAGTTAAAACGAAGACTCATGACAACAAATAAATTACAACCCAGACATAAAAGACACCGACGAGGGTGATGGATGACAGTTTGACAGTAGGTAGGGGTCGAATTGGAGGGTGTTGTTGGGGCAGAAGGATTGGAAGTGGGTTTTGGCAGCAGGCAGAAGGCAAGGATGGGGTGGCGGCAAAAACAAGGTGGCTGGAAGAAGGCTGTCGATAGCCAATGGAAATTGCAGGGTTGGCGACAACAACTGAGAAGATTGAAGGAATTTTAGCAACAAGTAGAGGGGGTCAGGGATGTTGACACAACAAGCAGGGGTCCTAGCGGGAGTTGCGGCAATGGGTAGGGTGATTGGGCGGTCATTACAGTGAGCAGGGAAAGGGAGGGGAAAAGTAGGGTTGGTGGCAATGAAACAAAATGGGGGAAGGTGCGCAGGAGGGTGGCAATGCGCAGGAGAGGGCGACAACAAACAATAAAAGAAAATATAAATACTATTTCGGGAAGAGTTACAATCATAGCACCTTCTCGCTGTCTGATACAACCCTTGAAGAGAAACGAGACGCCGACAATTTTCTTAATAGAAATCTCACAGCAAAACTAAGCATAAAAAAAAAATATAACAAATATATAGACAGTTGATAACTAGGATGGGGAGACCCCTCCCCTCGGGTGACAAGCCTAGACCAGACCAAGGGTTGGTTGACTCTTGCTCCCTCCAGTTGAACCGGTTCAACATGTTCCCACCCGGTTTAGTCTTCTAGCCCCACATTAGTCTCCCGGGTCGGAGGAGCTTTGACTTCATTCTTTGAAGCTTCTATCTGCACATTGATGTTGATGGAGTTGTTGAGACCTCTCGCGGACTGTAGCCCTAATAGCCGCCCCTGGATTTCATTTTCGACTGCACTGCCTTTCAAATATTGGAGGAGTTTTTACCACTTATGAACATATATCCATATCGATCCACTCTTTCAGTGGTTTACTACTGAATTAAACTGGGTATGCGTGTCATACATATACTATTGAAACCTCCCATATTAATCAAAAGTTGGCTCAACCTAATCTGAAGCGAGAGTAACCTGAACCTACCCGAACGGTGGTGGCCATGGTGGTATGATATGCTGAAATGCTCTCTGTCGTGACTGCCTCGTGTCTAGAATTGACATCTCAGTCTTTTATCCTCCATCATCTCTAAAACAAATCCCACAGAAGTTTCTCTGCTAGCGAGGGCACTTGCGATCTCAAACTCCGCAGAATGTAGGACGTTGTGCTTACCATCTTTAATGAAGGACTCGGTGTTTTTGAAGCCATCTCGCTGAGTTCTACAATTGAATTGTCACGGTCTCCCTAACAACAGCCGGTAGGCATCAATGGGTACCATGTCTTACCACATTTGATCTTGTAGCTGACTTCCAATCGAGAACTCCTTTCCAAAGTGCTCATGCAACGGGCAATGGCTAAGATTCTTTCGAAGATCACGTAATACTACTGTAGCTGGATGGGACAAATGGTAAATGTTGCTAAATCTATGGTTCTTTTCAGTCGAGCTACTCCGCAAGTAGGCGAAGGAGTACCATGTCTCACCAAACCTTTTTGTGAATTTTTCATAGTTGGCATCATATCCTTGTCCTCCCAAATAGGTTTCCGACAATTATCTCTTGGTCGATATGATTAGGGTATGGCTTTGAGTAGATGAAGGAGGTTTGTAGGAGTGATGTAGGGTGACAAAAAAAGTTTGAGTGGAGATAGGGTTGGATATTGGTGGATGCTATAAACTATAGTATAAGACTAGAGTTAAGCTAGCTTTGATAACAAATGATATCGAAGTTAACCCAAACAACAATAAGAAAATCAAATATTATTCTTGAATTCAAAATAGGGAAATACAATCTCACAAACGAAAATATAACTAACAACAAACCCGATAGAACAAACTCATATTAGGGTGGAGCTTAGGGGTAGTGGTGGCCAACTTTGATTTGGCCCTTTAGAGGGATAGTAATGGGTGGGAGAAGGGATGAAAGGCATGGTGGCAGCAAAGTTGTGTGAGTAATCGTGAGTGGAAGGTGCGAAACTACAAGAATGACAAGTGTGGTTGCTGTGCTTGGCGGGGGTAGGAAGAAAGAGGGTACTGGACAACAAGAAATTGGCTGGGAGAGGCTGTTATAGCTACGACAACAAGGGAGGGCGACGGGACGGTGAAGGTGAGGAGTTGCGGCAATGGTAGCTAGCTGGAATGAGAGAAACAAGTGGCTAGATGACTTGAATTGCAAGTGAACATCAAATAGGCATTGTCGTGGGTGGCCGGCGATAACTGTGAGTGATGCAGGGAACTTCAGGACAGCAAGAGGATGGCTGTCTGGGGCGGCAACAACGTGAACAGATGGTGGGAGTTGGAAAGATTGATGTGAAAATAACAACAACAGCTGTTCGGGGTCGACTACAACAATAGAGGGCGACTGAGAGTGTCGTGGAGAGAGTGTGGAAGGGGATAGGGAAGATAATCACCACATAGGAGAGATACAACTTCCCAAGGGAGAAAACGGACATTGGCGTCCATCCTAAATAATTCACACTAAAAACTAAATCTAAAACACACACACCCACACACCCACACACCCACACCCACACCCACACACACACACACCCACACACACACACACACACACACATATTTGATGGAATTAATCCATTTTTTGAGAATTTTGGCCTTTTTTTTGACAGATAATATCTGATGATGCTCCCTCTGCTGGCTCTAGAGAGCCTCAAATGCAAGTTATGGGTGCAAATATTTGCAGGGGAAAGTATATAAACTAATAGGAGGGTTTTTTGTTATTTTTGTTATGCTTTTTTTATTTATTTGATGGTCAATTCGGTTTGCTAGGACAAATAGTGATTATTAGGAGGGTTGTTTGTTATTTTTGTTATGCTTTTT